ATAAAATTTGAGAGAATAGGAAAGGAGGTAGGATTGTCGGGTCTGGATGGAAATCTATATCTAATCCGATGCTAATTATGTTTCTGATATATGGTAACTGTTGATCAAAATTGTATGGGTCTCTTATCTCGTCAAAGAGGTGGAGGACCCGATTACGAGGATGGTTACACGTGAATGATAGTAGTGGCCTACTAGAACCGGATTTCAAAACAAGGGTGGAATAAATAAAATAGAAGTAGGAAAGATAAAGTAAAGAAAAGGAAACTTACTGCTGATTCTTGGTATGCGAGGAATGAACAAAATATAGTGGTCGATCGGTGACTCCTGCTCGGTTATGCGTGCCCACTCCCTTCCGATTGTCCAATTTTGCTGACAGATGATTATGCGGAAGGTTGGCGAAACCTCACTAAGAGTAGTATTTGTGGAAAACACTGCGCACTTGCCACAACTGAGTCACGCTTTATTAAAATCTGAATATCTGAATCTGAATACTTGGAAATTTGAATCTGAATGCTCGAATACGAAACTTGGATATTCGAAACTTGGATATCTGAATCTGAAATTGAGCACGAACTGAGTCTAGACCTGAGTTTGAATCTGAGTCTCTGAGTACCTTTTCGTCTCCGTATGTTCTTCTCGCGGAGGCGGATTACCGCGGTTTTTATATCAATGATCGGAGGTAGAAGATATCAGGGTGGGTAGAAAGATAGCCCTTTGAGGAAGGGATGCAGCCCTAAGGAGAACCCAATGAAGTTAAAGATTTAGTTACTAATTTTTATTATTGGTCCTGGTTGACAGTAGTGGGAAAAAGTCTTAGCCATTAGCGAAGTTAAAAGACATTGTGGGAGGAGACAGTTAGTTCTAGAAGACATGAATATAGATGGAATAAGGGGTGGAGCGTGGATGTCTCATAGTTTTGGGTGGATAGGTTATGATTAGGCGCGACAAGTGTGATGGTGGTGGATTCTTGTGAGATAACGAGATGTACGAGCGTGGTCCGATAAGTACTTAGCCTACAAAAGAAAAACGAAAATTTTGGAAAAGTGGCGATTTATTTCTCAACATAGTCTCCTTTTAGCTCGATACACTTGACCCAGCGATGCTCCAACTTCTTTAACCCGTCTGAAAAATACGTTTTCTCGAGGTCTGCAAAGTAGGCCTCCGTGGCGGCGATGACCTCCTCATTCGACTCAAATTTCTGCCCGGCGAGTGACTTTTTCAAGTTTGGAAACAAAAAGAAGTCGCACGGGGCCAAATCTGGAGAATACGGTGGATGGGGCAGCAGTTCGTAGCCCAATTCGACCAATTTGACCGTGGCGAGGGCGAAGGTGTGAGCCGGTGCGTTGTCATGGTGGAAGAGCACTTTTTTCTTCGCCAAATGGGGCCGTTTTTTCTGCAATTGGGCGTCGAATCGGCCCAATAATTCGGCATAGTACAGCCCTGTGACCGTTTTGCCCTTCTCCAGGTAGTCGATGTATATCACACCTTGTGAATCCCAGAAAACGGTGGCCATCACCTTTCCGGCCGATAGGACAGTCTTCGCCTTCTTCGGAGCACGTTCGCCGGGTGAAGTCCACTGTTTCGACTGTTCCTTGGTCTCTGGTGTGTACCAGTGGATCCATGTTTCGTCGACGGTCACGAAACGACGCAGAAACTCCTTCGGATTGCGCTTAAACAGCGTCAAACACTGCTCTGAAGTGGTCTCACGGTTGCGCTTGTTGTCCGGAGTGAGCAAACGCGGCACCCATCGCGCCGATAGCTTTCTCATGCCCAAAATTTCATGCAGGATATGACCCACGCGGTCTTTTGAGATGCCTACTGTCTCAGCTATCTCGCGCACCTTCAATCGGCAGTCTGCCAATACGAGATCGTGGATTTTTGTCATGTTATCCTCCGTGGTAGCCGTTTTCGGGGCACCTGGACGTGGCTCATCAAAAACCGACGTGCGACCACGTTGAAACTCGTTAAACCAATTTTTGACGGTCGCCATCGAAGGAGAAGAGTCACCGTACACAGCATCCAAGCGCTCTTTGATTTCATTGCATGATTTCCCTTCCAAAAACAAGAATCGAATCACCGACCGATATTACTCTTTTTCCATTTTTCTAAAATCCGCGGACACGCCCGCTTCCACACGCGGTCAAAACAAAACTACGAGTCCGATTCGGCTGAAATTTCGACATTAGCCGTCTACGAGAATGTACTACACGATAGTAAATTTCTCTTGCGATAGTGGCGCCATCGGGCGGTGAGGCTAAGTACTTATCGGACCGCCCTCGTATACAAGCGGCCGGCTGGAAAAAGTCAAGATGTCATAAATCAAAGGCTGATATCAGATTTTACGACTATCAGTGAAGTAGGCTTTGTTGGTTAGCTGATAGGGCACATATGGTTTTGGATTGGGAAGATGTAAGTTTCAAGTTTTAGAACAGGAATGCTCTAAGTTGCTTTATTTTACTGAAAGTTTGTTAGCGCGGAGTTTCAAATTTTTATAGCTAGGCCGACGGACACACTTGGCGAACACTACCCAGATATAAACTTTGAACGAAGATGTGTAGATTTTTACAACAGGGCACTGTTTCCTGTTATGGAATTATCCCGAATCGCCTCTCATTTGGCGCGACGGCTGTCCGCCAGATGGGTCTGTTTCCTAATTTATATTTATATATTTATATATTCCTATTATAGTTATATTAGGAGAATATAAATTCGCGAAAGGAAAAGACAATTTTGTTAGTTAAATCTGCCGGACGTAACAGTATACAGGGTTTGTCAAAAGTGTGAAAATCCTTAAATAATTTTTGTAAAAATGAAAATATCAAAAAACGGTAAAACACGTATTTTAATTTTTCAAAAAAGCTACCCTATGACATGGATACCGATCATTCCTCACCCCCTGGTAGTAACCCAGATAGCACCAGACATCTAATGGATGTACGTTTCACGTCCGTTTATGTCCGTATGTCCGATTTACGTCCGTGGACATAAATTGGACGTAACAAGGATGTCCTTGTTTGGACATCGGACCTGTAGGACGTCCGATGTATGTCCATCGGACGTTCATGTCCGATGGACGTCCGAAGTTGTGACAAACGTACGTCCTATGGACGTCTTTTGTAAAAAAATGGACATATAACGGACGTCCAGTGGACGTCCGTGTGCTATCTGGGAAGGGGGGTTGAAAATTTTAAATTGGACTAAGAGTCGAGTGGGGGCTCATTTGAAAGGTCTTTTCATAACAAACACACCCTTAAAATTTTAAGTCGCTACGACCCCTCATTAAAAATGGCGGCCGTTCAAATTTCGAAATTTCATGCACTTACAAGGGAACGGTCGGGGGCGTCCCTCACCGATTTGAATGGGCATTGGATATGTTGTAGAGGATCAAGAAATATTAGACACGTATTTTTTTATATGTGTTTATCTCGCTTTAGGGGTTGAAGTCACCCCTTGAAAAAAACGGATTTTTTCGTTTTTATCAAATATCTTCTAAAATATGAGAGGTATGAAAACATAGTAAATGTAAGAGTTTTACAGTATTTGATGCTCTTTGCACCTGTCAATTCAATTTTTTCAAAATATCAAATTTACCCTCCCCGCTCCCCCCTCCACTCATTATTTTCGCAAAAATTTTGTAAGAACAAAAATTAAAGAGCATTGAATTCCGAATCCAACCATATATAATAATGTTACTTTCCGAGATACGGACTTTTCGAAAAATAGATGGGAATGTCCGTGTATGCCCGTAACACGCTATGCACAGCGCCTACCTCACTCGATAATATACGCAACACGTCCTCTTCGAATTTCTTCCGAATAATAGGCGATTAATACCAATACGGAGAATATGTAATCATAAAACATTTTAATATATAATAACGTTATTAATAACAATCATAGATTTATACACAATATTTCAATGCTTTATCTTTATAAAAAGATATACGTATATGAAAGTTAGATTTTATATATGATAAGTTTGTGTGTCTATTCTCGTAGTGGTTGACGTAAGTACTACGACGGAAGTGATACATGAATTGCAAAATCAATCATGTTTATTAACGCTTCCAAAGTGATTTAACCCTTTGCGGTCGAGTGTCGGCAAATAGCTGCCCAAGCCTTTTTACTGTTGCGGACGCGTGTCGACATATAGCCGCCCAATTGAGTTTACAGCTGTGGAGACGTATTATGAAGCGACTCGTGTACGTCTATCTTTCTGAACGATAACATACGCATGGGTATAATAGATTAAAGAATCAAGTTTCCTTTGAAAGAAATTTGAGACTGACGCTCGCTCGTCGGGCGGCTCTGACCGCGCAAAGGGTTAAACATAAAATGCGATATTTGTGGCCAAATTGCTATAATTACTTGTTCTTGGTGTAAAAAAATCATTTTGTATGATACATTTTTGCCATAATCCTCACCTTTGCAACGAATATGTACCATAAAAATAATACAAATTCATTATTCGCGCGCGTGTTCATATGCAAATTGTGTACTGTTTCTTTATCATATAATATTGTTAAATATACAGGGTGTCTTATAACTAACCTGGCAGAGCTCGTGGAGACATAGAGCGGGTTAAGACAAATATAAAAGTCCTATACCGTTTTGTGAGATTCGCAATAATTATTGAGTTATTAATGACAGAAATTAGAGGAATGAGCGCGCACCGAAACGTTATGGGAGAAGCATCTAGCTGCTCAGGCTAGAGAGCACTGCCCAGTCTACAAAGGAACTGTTGCCGGCGCGCGGCGAGGGGAAGGACAACGCGCCAATGTTTATGTTCTTATTAGTGTCCCTAGAAGTAAGAGTCTGACGAATGTTGTCCCATTTTTGATTGGCTGGATACAGAATGGCGGCACCAATCAGGGATATGTAGGCACGCGTAATATTTGAATAGCAGTAACGAGAAAAAGAAACGTCAAATAAATTTTTACATGTAATATTTTATTAAATGTTACCATTATTACATTATAATAATAATACATATATTCAAACATATTTATTTTATTGAAGCGTACATAGCCATGGTTTTGCTGTCATAAATAGGTGTTTTTATTTTACTGGTGTAACAACTTTTGCGGAGTTTAAATTTAATAATACGGATTTTTATTTTGTATTGTAAATTATGACATGTTTCTAATGACATACATTGAATATGTTTCATTTTGTCTAAAAAAAAAGTAACTATATTGAAATTGCTATATTGAATTTGCTTAACATGCGGTAAGTAACTTGTGATAACATTATTCATGTTTAGAAAATAATTGAATGTTGTATTATTTCCAAAAAATAATGTTTTTGCGCGGTAACATTTAAGACTAACTAGTCGCGAAAATTGTATTTTAGGATCATATGTTTTAGATCCAGCGGAAGCAATATACCTATCGCAAATGTTTTGATTTTTACAGATACTTGATATGATATATCCACATACATAATACAGTGAATTTAATTCTAGATTATTCAACTGTATTATTTTACTTTCAACATTAGGTGCAACACACATTTCTTCAGTTTGTTTAATACTTTTTTAGGACGTTGTAAAAAATCAGCTAATAAATCACCACTGCATAATTAGTATTTGGTAAGGCCTGTAAATGATTATTGCAATGTATCGCCTGGTCATGTACATCTTGAATGTCAATACTCGACAAACATGAATTATTTTGTGCAGGGATTGTAATAATGCTTGTAGTGGTTACCTCACGTTTATCGTTATATACAGAAAACATTGTTGGTATTGCTTTTATCTTTAATTTTTTACTTCCGTCCTGTCGTGTTTTCTCCCACATTTCTTCTGCAAAATAAGTCTATAAAAGCAACAAAATAAGGAACACGTTTTATTCATTATTCTTATTGTATAATATTAGATTATTCTTATCGCCTATTTTTTATTACATTATTCTTATTGCATACTATTACATACTTACCTCACAAATTGCTGTATAACGTTTCGGTTTCCAGTTGTTTCTTCCGATTTGTTGTAACCACAGTTTTTGTATTTCCTTATCCTGTGGGAATCGTTTCATGTAGAAACCGTCCTCGCTTCTGTTTTTACATCCTGCTATCGCACAACCCGTCATTTCTTACAAGCATCTATTTCTTTTACTGTCTTTTAATATCGCACGTATTACAGAAGGTTCGCTGGACTTACGGCGAATATATTGTCAGATGCATGTGCACCCGTTGAGACCACGTCTACAGTAAGTGTAGTACAGGTATAGCAGCCATGTTGTATCCAACTAGAACATTCGCCAGACTCTTACTTCTAGGGACACTAGTTCTTACCTCGCCGCTCCTACATCCCGCCGCACCGCGTCTAAGCTCGCGCCGAAATGGCCGCTGAATATTCGCGATTACAATTACGAGATTATTTTATGAGGTACTACAGATAGCTCATATTGAATTATAAAGTTCAAGGTTCAAAAGTTCTTTGATCAAGGAAAACATCGAAAAGGAGAAAGCGATAGAGAGCGATGAGATCTATAGAAATTCTCATTGTTTTCTATCGCAATCTATCGTTTTGCTGCATCGGATCCGAAAGAAATGATATAGCGTAAAGATAGAGTACGATGAACACTTTTCATCGTACTCTATTGTACTCTATCGTTAGGAGAATATTTAATTGTTAGAATATGATAGAATTCGCGTAGAGACTCATCGTGCCCTATCGTTTTATTCAAGTCTACACAGAAAATATGTTTGGTTGAATGAACCTATTTTCTGACGAAATGAGAGAGAAAAAGAGAGAGAGAGTGAGAGAGAGAGAGAGAGAGAGAGAGAGAACGATTAAGAAATTTTGATTGAGAATAGCACAATTTTATTTAAGTTAACCATAAACCTTGATGAATTAGATTCAGTGTTAATATTTTCAGTTAATATTTCTCTGTATCGTTCATATTTCATTTGCAAGCTGTATCATGGACCAAACATTTTTACCATATATCATGCATAAATTGTTGTCTTATATCGTAATTCTTGTTAGTGGTATATTAACGACAGAAGGAACTGAAAGTTCTGTATCGTACAATTGCGAAAAGAGTTGTCAATGGTGCACCAACGATACTCGGCATAAAATTGATTCCTAGGTATAACGGCGATACAACGCAAATCCAAGTGTGTTATTTTGACACGTTATTTTTATGCGTGTCAAAATAACACACTCGGATTTGCGTTATATCGCGATTATACCTAGGAATCAATTTTATGTCGAGTATCGTTGGTGCACCATTGACAACTCTTTTCGCAATTGTACGATACAGAACTTTCAGTTCCTTCTGTCGTTAATATACCACTGACAAGAATTACGATATAAGACAACAATTTATGCATGATATATGGTAAAAATGTTTGGTCCATGATACAGCTTGCAAACGAAATATGAACGATACAGAGAAATATTAACTGAAAATATTAACACTGAATCTAATTCATCAAGATTTATGGTTAACTTAAACAAAATTGTGCTTTTTTCAATCAAAATTTCTTAATCGTTCTCTCTCTCTCTTTCTTTCTCTCTCTCTCTCTCTCTCTCTCTCTCTCTCTCTCTCTCATTTCGTCAGAAAATTGGTTCATTCAACCAAACATATTTTCTGTGTGGACTTGAATAAAACGATAGGACACGATGAGTCTCTACGCGAATTCTATCATACTCTAACAATTAAATATTCTCCTAACGATAGAGCACAATAGAGTACGATGAAAAGTGTTCATCGTACTCTATCTTTACGCGATATCATTTCTTTCGGATCCGATGCAGCAAAACGATAGATTGCGATAGAAAGCGATGAGAATCTTTGTAGATCTCATCGCTCTCTATCGCTTTCTCCTTTTCGATGTTTTCCTTGATCAAAGAACTTTTGAATCTTGAACTTTACAATTCAATATGAGCTATCTGTGGTACATCATAAAATAATCTCATAATTGTAATCGCGAATATTCAGCGGCCATATCGGCGCGAGCTTAGACGCGGTGCGGCGGGATGTAGGAGTGGCGAGGTAAGGACATAAACATTGGCGCATCGTCCTTCCTCTCGCCGCGCGCCGGCAACAGTTCCTTTGTCGACTGGGCAGTGCTCTTTAGCCTGAGCGGCTAGATGCTCCTCCCATAACGTCTCGACGTGCACTCATTCCTCAGATTTCTGTCATTAATAACTCGATAATTATTGCGAATCTCACAAAACGATATGGGACTTTTATATTTGTCTTAACCCGCCCTATGTCTCCACAAGCTCTGCCAGATTAGTTATAAGACACCCTATATATTATTGCCATTATTATTCTTTCACAATTTATTATATTATTCCTCTCTATCCTGTTCTTCTACATTATTATTCTGTAATTAATATTAAGCTCTTCGTTGTATATTGTTTAGCAATTGTTAATGCTGTGTTATATTTTCATATCGCACGCTTGCTCTTTTTTGCAGAGGTAATAGAATCTGTGTTTCCTTATTTCATGCATTACGACTTTATTTTAATTCGTCTTAATCGTGTGTCGAATTGCCATTACAATAAACATACTTATTTCAAGAAATATAGAAATATATATTGGAAATTTCTGTACAAAGCGACGCTGCACACGCATTTGCTACTGTTGCCACATATGCACATTTAACTCACTGTTTTTTTTTGTATAATACATGGCATACAATTAATTCGTTTTTATCTTGCAGTAGGATAAATTATGCACAGATAGTTATTAAGCATAGCACAACTGAAGAGAAAGAACGCCATGTAACAGTACCTACCTACTCGCACAGTGCAGTGCCTACCACGATGTCATCGTACTGTTTTTCTAAAAATTGAATCAAGGAATCATACTATTATTGTATATGGATGGATTTGGAATTCAATGCTCTTTAATTTTTGTTCTTACAAAATTTTTGAAATTTGCGAAAATAATGAGTGGAGTGGGGAGCGGGGAGTGTAAATTTGATATTTTGAAAAATTTGAATTGACAGGTGCAAAGAGCATCAAATACTGTAAAACTCTTACATTTACTATGTTTTCATATCTCTCATATTTTAGAAGATATTTGATAAAAACGAAAAAATCCGTTTTTTTTCCAGGGGTGACTTCAACCCTTAAAGCGAGATAAACACATATAAAAAAATACGTGTCTAATATTTATTGATCTTCTACAACATATCCAATGCCCATTCAAATCGGTGAGGGATGCCCCCGACCGTTCCCTTGTTAGTGTTATCTAGGATCAACTGCGTGGAAGTGGCATGAATCTGATTCTTTGCGTGTGTGTGTGTGTGTGTGTGTGTGTGTGTGTGTGTGTGTGCGTGTGCGTGTGCGTGTGCGTGTGCGTGTGCGTGTGCGTGTGCGTGTGCGTGTGCGTGTGCGTGTGCGTGTGCGTGTGCGTGTGCGTGTGCGTGTGCGTGCGTGCGTGTGTGAGTGTGTGTGTGTGTGTGTGTGTGTGTGTGTGTGTGTGTGTGTGTGTGTGTGTGTGTGTGTGTGTGGCTAAACAAGTGTGAATATGTTGTATGTATAATCGTGATAGGTTGCAAAACAGACGATTGAAAACTGTCATCTCTCTTTAATGATTCAAAACCTTTTACTCCGTGTTTTAAAATAAATTTTACTCAGTGTGTTAAAGTAAATGCTGAAAGTAGCTGCCATTTATTTCCTGACAATATGCCAATCTTTGATAGAATGCAGAAATGGCTCTACGATTCGTCTCAAAATGTATCAAATCTATTTCATCCCTTATTCGCTGTATCAATTCTTGGATGCTTTCAGGTTTTGTTTTGTAAACCTTATTCTTCAGGTGACCGCATAGATAATAATCAAGAGGAGTTAGATCTGGTGACCGAGGTGGCCAATCCTCTCCTCCCTTATTTCTGTTCTTTCTTCCTATCCATCGTAATGGAAAAGTCTCATTTAAATTTTGACGTGGCCCTAAACCAAAATGAGCAGGAACTCCATCATGCTGAAACCATATTTCTTCGAAATTATTTGGAAAAATATTTCGTATGGCTGGAATTATTTGGTCTACAAGTAATTTGTCATACCTTTGAGCGTTCAGATTTTCTTAAAAAAAAAAAAAACGGTCTTATTAAGTAGCCATCTATTATTCCACACCATACATTTATTTTTTGTGGGTATTGTGTGTGAGTTTCCCGCACTTAATTCGGATTCTCATCTGACTAGAAACGAAAATTTTGTTTATTAACTTCCGATAACGTGAAAGTTGCCTCGTCTGTAAAAACAATTTGATAAGGTAACATGGGCCGGACATTTATTAGTGCCATCATTCTTTCACAGAAACCTATACGACGCTCCACATCTCCGTCTTGCAATTCTTGAACATATTGTAATTTGTATGGATGGAACTTGTTTTTCTTTAAAATTCTCCAAACGGACTTGGGAGCAATATCGTGAGTTTGAGCGACTCTGTTAATAGTAGAATTGGGACCTTCAATAAATGTCTGCAGAACATCAAGTTGTTTTTCTTCGTTAATGGCAGGTCTCCCTGATTTAGGGCGATTGTTTACGCTACCGGTTTCTCTGAAACGTTCCATTGTTTTTAAGACAGTGGACTTATTAATTCGACGATTCGGATACGTCTCATTAAATAATTGAGCGACAGCAGCGTACGACCGCTTGTTATCACCCCATCCACGCATCATGAGGATAGTGATTCTTTCACGTTCCGACAATTCGCTAGCCATTTTTAAAACGTTTAATTTTTAATCTGCCTAAGATCTGTGAAAACTGATTTTAAGTAACAGTGAGAACAACTGATTTTAAGTAGCCGTGAGAACAACTGATTTTAAGTAATAGTGAGAACAACTGATTTTAAGTAGCAGTGAGAACAACTGATTTTAAGTAGCAGTGAGAACAATTGATTTTAAGTAGCCGTGAGAACAACTGATTTTAAGTAACAGTGAGGACAACTGATTTTAAGTAGCCGTGAGAACAACTGATTTTAAGTAACAGCCCACATAGCACCGCAATATTGCAGGAATATTACAGAAATGTTGCAGGAATATTACTAAAATATTGCATAAATATGACAACAATATCGCAGAAATATTTAATGTCCTAGGCATAAGTCTCGCAGAAATATTGCGGGAATATTGTTATGATGTTGTAGGAATATTGTCACAATATCACAGGACTATTGCCACAATGTTGTTGAAATATCGCCACAATCTTACAGCAATACCTATGAAATATAGCCACAATACTGCAGAAAAATTGCAAAATATTGCCGAAATATTACTGCAATCGTGCAGGAAGTTGCTACAATATTTCTCAAATGTTGCTGCAATATTGCAG